CACCATTTAGTCAGTCAATGGTAAGCATACACAATATAATAGACACAATGTTAACTGTAATCTCGGGTAAAGGAGGGTATCATCAGAAAGTGTATTCCCAATGACAACGATATGCATCACAAAATCTCCTCGGATACCGTCGGTCAACACACAAATCAGTTGTTATCCATTGACCAGACAATTTATTCCACGAGGGAGGCGCCGCACGCGACAGAGCGGTGCCGAATACTCGGCGCAATCACGTCACCGCGCAGGAACAACCCCGCGTGACGCCCACCCGCGCAACAATCGCAAACGCCAATCGCGAATAGTCGGCTCTCAAGGACGCATAAATACAAACATGTGTTAATTAATCGACAAGCTAATTCCAACTTGGCATAACAGCGAGGCCACGAGGAAACCGCTCATTAATTATGATCTGCATAAACTGAACAGTCACGGCGAGAAATTTCCCGTGTTGTATACATAATGTATACACCACGCATAGCACATACTGCACAGTACACGGTGCGCGGTACCCAAAGCACGCAGCGAACCCATCGAAGGGAAGAGCCTTAAGAATAATACGCGTAGTTCTAGGGAGTAGGAGCCGCGCGAAAAACGTCCCGCAGGGCGCGACGACCCGCCAGCACACGGCGTAATACGCTCCCAGCTCCCGAACGCCCACCTCATCATCATCATCCGGGCACACAGCACACAACGCGCAACACACAGAACCGCATCAATCCTGGGAGATGGGGATCGCGCAGGAACATCCCATGGGGCACGGTACGCAACAGTCAAATCCGATCAGGGAGCCAGATAATCGGCGCGCATGCCCTGATGCGTCACACGGGATACCCAATGAAGAAGGCCGCCGCAGAACCAGCAGGCGGATCCAGCACGCCCAGGACGCCGCCGACGACGAAGGGGCCCCACGTCCACCAGGAAAGGGCGGGTCACCAATCACTTCTAAGAAGCAGTGGGATCGCCCCGCATCCTACGGCAACGACGAACGCTACGCCGGGCGTTTCGGAGAAACGCGGACGAGCAAGTCGAGCCGGGATCGGCGGAGCACGCCGTCAGGCCGCACGCCCATCCAGGGAACACGCAGAGACATATGCCCGCAAGTACTACACACATAGAAACACCATTAAACACATATAACCTTAACCTAGAATAGCTAAACTACAACCCAAACAGTATACAGTAAGCACCGCACAGCCCGCCCAGCGCCAGACCAGAGCATGTAAACACTCTCGGGCGACATAGACAGCCGTCAGGCAAGGGAGCAACCAGGAGCCGGGCGAGGCCGGCCCCCGTATAAGCCCGGGCACGACCGCTCGGAATCAGCCCCCACGTTATCCCCGCCAACCGGTCGTCCGGCGCGAAGCCAGCATCCACCGCGCAAGGAGCGCCAACACCTGACAACCCCACACACCCACAATAGGCATGACACGAAAACAAGATTCACCGAGACAACAGGTGGCGCGTCGGCAATCAAGCACACGATTTAATGAATTCAGCCGAAAATAAAGGTAAATAAGAGTAAACATCGGACGTTAAACTTATACGCAGTATACGCATCACACGGGCGCCTCTCGCAAGCATCTCGAACGTCATGGTCGCAATGGCGTGACCATTAGCAATCGCGGGGTCGCACAGAAAGAGAGAGCCGATCCTGCGCCACAGTACATTTATAATATCGTGTACAATATAAAATATCATCTCGAATAGTGAAAATAGATGGTGGTACATGTATTAGTACGCCTAGAGTCGCTCGCGGCCCGACGCACAGTCAAGAGCATTTGAAGCGAGTCATGGATTGGCCGGGCGATAACCGCACGTACACTAAAGTGTAGACTCACTTGGCGCAGAGTAGCCAATGGCAGGCCAGCATTCCGGTCATATTCCGTGTAACAAGAAGTTCTAGATGACTCCCCCAGACCACGTCATCCTCTATGTATCCTGGCCAAAACACAGCCTCAAAGGCAAATCAGTCCAGCAATAACAGGGGGAGAAATCCCATGTCATCTCTGTCCGCAATACAGTTATAGGCACGGAGTCACCCAAGCAGCGCGTGGTCGCACCGTGCCATCACGCGCGCCCCGCATGTTCCGATGGGGGAACAAGTAATTACAGGCATCGGTCAAGAATCCATGTCGAATCGGGTCGCGCACACCAGTTAGGTCACCATACCCGCACCATATGAATAATGCACAGATATTAAAGACTCTTAGTATGTTGGATATACTGAACAAAGTCTGAATAAAGACTGTAGAAAGTCTGTAGAAAGTCTGTAGAGAGGCAGGGGGGAACCGGCCATCTTGGTATTGAGACGGCAAACGTGGCACGCGGTAGGAGTCCGAAACTTTAAGTGATAATTACAGGATACTTATGTCCTTGATCACTCTGCCTCCATTTCCACACAACAATACAGTGACGGCGAGTTCAACAAGCACCTTCTTATAGCCGAGAAAGCAGTCCAAGGCACGGTTATAAGACTCTTATACGGAGCGCAGCACAGACACGTCCGCATGCCACCGCGGCCATGACGGAACCCCCTGTAATGCGTGGTCTACAATGCGAGTCGCAGAGTCGTAGTCGTAAGAATAATCGACTGCGATTGGTCAATTTCATCAGATACATGAGAATGGACCAATCGCAGTCGACTATTCTTACGACTACGACTTTACGACTTCTATGACTATGTTTACACGGCACCATAATCGGGTTTAATAACATCCGTAGTTAAGGGGCTGGCCAATCACAGCCATTCCATTCTTCTGAGGAATAGTCGTGATTGGCCAGTTTTATAACTACAGATGTTATTAAACCCGATTAAGGGTGACGTGTAAACGTAGTCTATGTAGACGAGGCTTAATTGGTCAATTCAGTCAGACACATAAGAATTGACCAATCATGGTCGACTATTCTTACGACTACGACTTTACGACTTCTATCTATGTAGACGAGGCTAAAGCCTCCGCTACAATGATTCTCGGTTCTGTCTACAATGGTCGTACAGTTGTATCGATGGTCGCTTGAGCAGTCGCAAAGCAGTCGTAGTCGTAGTCGCTTGAATAGGTTCAATTCCTATTCCAACGACCACGACTGCGTTTATTGCCGCGATGGACCAATCAGAGAATAGTGTTATATGTCGTGTGTCATTATATGTCGAATATATCGTGGGAAAATACCTCAAAAACAGAAAATCGGTTTCAGTTATACATCGATACGACCCAATCCATGACTCTACGATTCTAAGACTGCGACCATTGTAGACAGAACCGAGAATCATTGTAGCGGAGGCTTTAACTGATGACTGTGATGGACCTGTGATGGATGTCGGAAACATTTCTTGATTTGCTTAATACTTTCTGAGATATTCAAGAGAAAATTTATAACTTTTTCACTGTTTATTATAGCTTATGATATTTCGATAACTGTTTGTCGAAGGGAAAAGTAGTGCAGGACTTTTACAGGAATATATACCGTCTGTATTATGTCAGCATAACGCATTTACGTGTGCTCATAGACGTGTCGGCATATTTGCAATAATTGAGTCGGCATATCCCTTATGAAAAAATACACTCAATCATACGTTGACGGTCCGAAATAACCATCAAATTGAGTGTAAACCTTCATAATCGAGTGTTTCATGAAGGTTTACACTCAATTTGATGGTTATTTCGGACCGTCAATGTATGATTGAGTGTATTTTTTCATAAGGGATGAAGTGCACGTGAACAGCATGGTTTGCCTGACACATTGTGACACAACTTGCCGTCACAAGATCGACAAGCCTTGCCGGAATCATGTATGATAGTAATGATCATGTATGAACATATAGAAATAGTTGAATAAAAGAGCTAACTGCTTTGTTGCCCACTCCAGTCATTTGTTTCGTCTTGCGCCGATACTTTCTGCGCGTCCGTCATTATCTTGGTGTGGCCAATGAGACAAATGTTGTATACAGTGGTAGTATGACGGTGTAAAAAGATTTTACACATCAAAGTAATGACGGAATACCACGTGATCGAAATCGAAAAAATCAAAGGTTCGACAGAGAGTGGGCATACTAGTTATATAGTATACATATATTATACTATGATACACCGTTCCGCTCTATGAATTTGCACTCTCAGTATAACATCTATATAGATTTTGCTATCTGGGTAGTAAACGTTTAAACGTTTAAATGTTTGAACGTTTGTTAAGTAAAAACACGTGTATTCAGAAAAACGTTTCTAATAAACGGATAGCTAATTGTATTATACGTATAAACGTGTTTCCGTTTAAACGTATAGTAGCGAGCCCTAGTTGAGTAATTCATTTCTCACGTTCAGAATTTTATTTCTCACTTAATCATTTGTTACAAATATAATTTTCCAATCGTCTTGAGACAAATAACTTTATTCTCGTCTACATACATGATTTGCGACTCTTGTAAAGAAGTCTAGTCATTACCTCAGCCAAAAGATAATATTGTTCGTAATAGGAATTATTTACAGTGAAGAAAAAAAAGACGCATTTTCAACATCGAACATTCCATTCGGCGCACAGTTTGCTGCGTGAAGAAAAAAGATGTATATGAAAATAAAATTAGGCACTGAGATCCTGTTTGAACGTTACAAGGCTTTTTATTATTATTGTGTTCGCATAAAACAGTCGGATATTAGAAAGAAGTTTTTTATTATGAGACGGACTCTTAATATGAGATAGCGGAGTTTCTGCTGAATCATTGCAAGAAAAGATTTGCGATTGAAATTGAATTAAATTTGAATTAAAAACCTGCTGTCTCATAACAAGAAACTTTCTCTACCCATCATTGCGTAACAAATAATTTTCTTTCGATTTTTCAAATATCTTATGAGATTAATTTGTACATGTTTGCGTGCAATTAACTTTTATTCAAAGGTAATCCATATCTCTCTCTCTCTCTCTCTCTCTCTCTCTCTCTCTCTCTCTCTCTACATAAATAAATAAATAATCTATTAATAAATAATTGAACCATTTTTTTCTTTCTTTCTCGCCGTTGAGACTACGAAAGAATTAAAATATATATCTCTATATATTTTATTTTGACTAAATTACGTGACATCGATAGATTTGAATCCAAGGAGTCTATGATTCATCCCTCCACCCCCATGCATATTAATATATAACCTCCCTTCTGTGATTTCGCTAACCCCTAAGTAGTTGTCCTGCCGAAGTGACGGGAAAATGGTGTGTCGAAGAACGTTTCCTTTTACGTGCCAGGCTCATCCCTCGCAATGCGAAATGCACTCTTTCATTGGTCGGACACCCCTATCAGGCGGTCTATTCAACTGAAAATAAGATACGACAAATGCAAATGTTAAAGTGTTAAAATGTATTTCGCCAGAGGCATATAAATTGGCTTAATTACTCGTTCGAAGATAGCAATTAATCTTTCGCGATTAGACTCGTTAAATTTTGCAGCGTACCACTAGATTATTAATATGAAACGTAAAATTAATCTCTCTCTTTCTCTCATCTCAGGACGCAATCGGACGGGCGCTGATTTCTTTCGATGTAAATCGAAATAATTGCGAAATGTCGCGCGCGAGCGCGCGCGCGCGGCGATAAGAGGCGCCCGTCGTCGGGAATCGACGGTTCCAACCGGCTGCTGGCGATGACTTATCATCGCTGATACAGCGGTAGCCTTGCGTCACTCTCGGAACGTAGATTTATAATAACATTAACGACTCCTTCCAATTTACGACCTACGCAATTGCGTACTTATCGAAGCGCGATTTACGCATGCTAGTACGCGCGCCGCGGACGCGGCGCGGCCCGCGCCGCGTAAAAGGCATGATCTTCGCCGCCACGTCCTTGATTTTTCGCCTTCCTTCGCCGATTTTTCCCGACGTGATATATGTACGACGAAGATTCGCGGTCTGCGCGCGACAAGCGTACGCGTCTACGATAATCCAACGAGACACTTACCTAATCAGAGGATACGCGGGATCTCCGATGTGTCTCGTATTGATGGACACCAATTCGGTAGGGGCTCGGTCCACCGCGAAACGTCTTCGCCGGCCGCTGCAACGTCAATTAGTCGTCAAATTCGAGCGCTTATCGCGCGTATATTTGAAATATATTTAAAATTGAAATAAGATTAAAATATGATAGCACTTGTAGGAAAGTAGAAGTATATATATAAATGATTACATATTCTCTTATCATTCTCTTCCTCTCTTTCCTCTGCTCCTTTTTTGACTATTGTATGAATTACATAGCAATTCTTTTGTTAAATTCCCCTTACATTCTCACTGGATCCAGTTGCCTGCTCGTCCGCGTCGTCAGTGACTGCTCGTCGTTGATTTTCGTCAAACCCAGCCACGTCTCCAGCTCGGCTCGCCTCTGGTCCGACAGCCGTCTTTGCCGTCTGCGAACACGCGCGGTCGGTTACGCGACGAATTCAACTCGATTGGGAAGCGAAAGAGGCAAGGTTCGATTCGATTCAACTTACGATTTAGCCGGAATCGACAGATTTTCCCGCGCGATGAGCGACGAGATCGCCTTTGGTTCCGAGAAATCCTCCGGCTTCGGGGCACGTGACTCTAACGTGCTCAAGACCGACCTATTACAAGATGGAAGGAACAAAAATGAGACGTCGGATGAGATAGCACGTTTAGAAAATGCCCGCTTTCTCGTTGAAAAAAAAATACGAGTCCTTGGACTCTTTCGTCACGCGGCGACCGGCGACATTTGTGTGTCAAAAAGGGCCAGCGTTACGTCACCTGTCGTCTGCATGATGTAACAATATCCGGTATATTCATAATATTGTTCTGATGTAACATGCGCGCGACGAACGTAAGAAATTTTGCATAAGAGAACAAGAGTAATCGAGAACGTTCCCGTACGAGGTGTCCCGATTGCGATCGACTGGCAACTTCGGCGAGTGGGAAATGCGCTCGGAAAAATGATCTCACAGCAACAATTTCCCAGGTGCGAGAAAATAACTGAGAGACTAGGCAAGTTGGTGTCTCAAAGTTATATATTGTAATTTTCCGGTTACCGTATTTTTCTTCAACGAAATGAACTAGTTTAAAGCCCGTCTAAGAGACAGGACTCGAAATGACCTGATTTACTTTAAATGATACAAAATGGAAATTTGCACGTGGCTGCCTCATGGAGGGCGCTAGATGAGTTAAGGTGCACGTTTAAATGTAACGGCGACTTAAATATGACACGACAATTTTCCAGGTACGACAAAATAACTGAGATGCATAAATGAACGCCCAATACTGCGAATTGTTTTGCATTTAATCAATTTAAATAGCAGAAGCAGAATTTCTATCTCGACTGTTAGCGAACGTCGGGAAGAAAGCCTTTTCCGTGACGTCCATCCATTATAACGTTCGATTGCGGTACATGAACAGTTACGTTCCTCGCAAAGATTGTTCCAGCTATGGTAGCCGAAATTCTTATTTTTGGCCCGGTTTCACCAACATCGCTTAACTTTAAACTTAATTAATCCTTTGTCTCTTTCCAACTGTTACCTTAGAAAGAGACGAGCATGAATGAAGCTAACAAGAGGATTAAACCGTATTGAAATTTATGTATACGTCGCCAGTGTTGAACAATTGAAACTAGTTTGACCACAACTGGCTGATTTATTGAAAATCACTTACGCGACGTTTCGACCAATGTTTTCGATCTTTTCCAAGTGAGCTGAAGTTAATGTTAACAGTCCTTGTGATCAATGGTCAAAGTTAGAAAGAATTAATACGTATACACGGGAAAAAGAATGATGTTGTATCAACAAGATTAGTGTAATTGAAATAAAATCGTTGAAACAACCTCGGTATTAATAAACAAAAAACATCGGATTGTTGTCTTAATAATCTGGACATTTAGTTCAATGCTTAGAATTAAAATCCATAGCAAATACAATCTAATGAATTATTTATGTTCGTAGCAGCCCGTGACGTTAACATTTAACTCAAGCAACTTTCTTTCGCCTAATTCAACAGTACTTTTTTCCGTGTAGACGGAGAAGTGACTGAACTGAATGCGTGTCCAGACTAAGATTAGAGTTAAAGGACGTTTAACGAATGGTTTGGTGAAACCGGGCTTTAGTCGTGAAACCTAAATCTAAACTTTCCAGAGGGTATTACTAGAACGCTGCTGCCATAAACTTTCCCGGCCGCGAACAATTTTCTAACAGATACACAAAGTGGCGATAAATGTCTGCCGCGACACCTAGAAATCTACCTGCGTTGGTCAATTAATTAATTAATTAATTACCCGCGGTTGTCGTCGCTCGCAGGACGTCCGTGGACGAGCCTCGGCAGCACGAGTGCAGCTACGAGGACGCAGGTCGCTATGGACGGGCGTCCCATTTTCGAGCGGCCGAAGGGTAACTTCCGGTCACCGGGGAGAGATCTACGGCAGGCGGTGACGGAGTGTTCTACTCGAGACGAGAGATCGAGGCGATCTTCGAAGCGATCTTCGAAGGTTCTCTGGCTCGTTGTGTGTAAACTATTAAGTCAGAGTGGCGAACGTCACCGTCATATATACGTAGGGATCCTTGTCCCCTCCCCATGGCACGTGCGGGGCACCGCACGCTTTCGGTCGCCTCCGGCGATTTGCATCGTATCGAATTATGCCGGACAACCGAGGGCGCTTCTCGACCGAGTCTTCGAAGGACCTTCGCCACCCACTGAAAAAAAAACTTTCGCTAACGTAGCTAATCACGATTTGCTGAAAATACTTTGCTGCATTAGCTATAATAAATTTCTAAAGCAGAGCGAACGGTTTGCTGTCGCACCTAATACAATATAGGCACAGCGGCAAAATATTAGCTATCGCAACTAAATATTAGCCGTCCATACTTTACAACTGAAATTTAGCTACCACAGTTTTTAGCTGCATTTCCATTGGATAAATCGATTAAGTGGCGTTTCCGATGGAAAATTAACCATCGGTTGGTTTTATCGCTCAAAAAATCGACTTGCTAGGAAATTGTTCGTAGCCTGCAAAATTTATAGCAGCAACGTTCTAGTAATAGCTTTTGGAACGTTTGGTTTTCATGACTAAATATTAATCATTCACGTTGGTTAAAAATGAACTTCGGTACCGGAACTAGAACAATCTTTGTAAGGAATATAACTGTTTTAGGTACCATAATCAAACGTTACGATGGATGAGCGATACAAAGCATACGCGATCTCGCAGTAGTGGCTGATTTATAGAGGAAAATTCTCTGTTCTCTAGCGAAAAGAATTTCTATAAATAACTACAAAAATTGACTTGAAGTAGAAATTTGTAGAAATTTTTATATCTTCGTTGAAACATTTATTTTTGTGTACAAATATCTGCGAAATAGCAGCACAAATTACAATGTTCTCAAATCAAGAAATTATTGCAAACAGTATTTCATGGAAATGTACAATTTTGTAAAAATTAGTACAAAGCTTTGCTAGTTTTAAAAATTTGAGAAACAACAAAATCTTAAAGAATTGAAACATCCGCTGAGGTACTTGTAGAAGATTACAAAAATTAATAAAAGTGTTCCAATTCTAGCATTTTCATGTAAATTTTTATATAACACCTTTTAAATTTACGTAGAATTTCTTAGATTCTGGCAGTATATATAGTTTTTTGTAGAATTTTGTCGTTCAACGTCCAAATTCAATCACAAATCTTTTTTCGCAACGATTACACGATCTAACGATCAATTTCTACTGCACAGATTTCATTCCAAGGACAATAAATAAACGCATGGGTGGCACCAACAGACGATGCCTTTTAACTTGGCAGAAACTCCGCTATCTCGTATTAGGAAACTATCCCATAATAGGAGACTTTCCTCTATATTTCACAATCAGTTGTTGTTTCGTATGCTAGAAAATTGTTGCTGCCGTTGCAAGATCGTATTAAATTATGGATACACTCAATGAGACTTATCCAATGAAATTGCAGTTACCGGTAAAATTTTATCGAAAAATTGATAGTACTTTTCATCATATACAATTTAATCGAATACATTCGGTTGTTAACATTGAATTATTCGATTAGACAGGCCAGGATACCTTTCTGAGTGCACCGATTCGTCGTTCAACGTATCCTCCAAATCGTTAATAACTATCGAAGAGAGCCGCGCATTCTCTCTCTCTCTCTCTCTCTCTCTCTCTCTCTCTCTCTCTCTCTCTCTCTCTCTCTCTCTTATGTTTAATGTATTTTTCCGTAATACACTTTTAGCTGGGATACCAAACCCTATGAAGCAACGCGTCCTTATGGCTGCATTTTCCTCATTCCGTCTGAAAATTTCACGTATAGCAATCGCGGATTTTCCAGTTCAGTCTGGTACGTCCCCGTCTTCTACGTCGCAACGTAATCAATATTTTTTTTCCGTTTTTTTTTACATATATATATAAACCGAGAAGCCAAAGTACAACGACGCTCGCTCTCCGTAGCTCCGTTCGCCGCGAAACTCGCGGCGGCCCGTAAATTCTCATTGAGAAACAGCCGCCGCGCAACTTTGGCAATTTCGTAGAGGCGAGAAAATGAACTTCTGACCTCATTTTGATATAAAACTTTGATTGGCCATAGATAACGTATATAATTTATGCGCCATATCCAATGATTGTGCTCTGCTCGGCGAAATCGTGTTGCAAGAAAATCATAACGATTTCGCGCTAACGAGCGCAAATAGCCGTATAGCAGGCCGCAACACGTAGATCCCCGATTCGAATTATTACGTTATTTCACGCAAGTGCAAACCTCAACGTGTCTCACCCGGTCCGCGTCGCAACATCGTGGGGCCGTTTCCGTTTGGCCGGCGATGCGTTTGGTCGCCGTTCTTTCCCATTTTTCCACCCGCGATCGCGGAACTTTCGTTCGTCAGTCAGACGCCATTAGGCGAATCGCGCAACGCGCGCCATTACGAAATCACTCTACTGCCCGCTGGACGTTACGACTTCGCATTTTTGCCTCCCGCTTCCGGCACTAATCACTTATTTCAACTCGATCGTTAAACTTTATCGCGCGAGACGTATGCGGAAGCAAGGATGATGCGCGACGAACTTTAGAACATTATTGCGCCTGATGATAATTATATGCGCGCATATCGCGCTGATTATACATCGTTATCGTTCCGTCGGCGCGCTCGCTTCTCAATTCAAGCGTGGAGTCGAGCGCGGACGTTATCTCTCCGTATTGAAAATTGAAAGTCATTCGATTTGGCGCATCTCTCATTGCCGGCGCAGTAATCCGTGCCGAGGCTGGGGAATACGCGCGGCGGCGTAAGGTGATGAAACCCCCGCGCGCGTGGCCTCGGCGACATCAACAAAAACTGACGGTCTTGCCTAACGCGAGAGTCACGCGAAAGAAGAAAGGGGCGTGCGAGAAGATACGCGATGAATTTCATAATTTGTCGCGATAAGAATCCATTGATTCTGCGACGAAACGCGCCGAGCGGGCGATTTATGTCGACGGATCCCCGTGCTCTCTAAAAGTCACTGAAAACAGCGAATAGTCACTGATTTGTAGTTATAAGTGCACTGCTGTAAATTGCAGCGGTATATTTATAACTGTAAATCAGCGACTATTCGCCCGTTTTCAACGATAATCCACTGATTGACTTTTAGAGAGTGGGGGGGGGGGGGAGGGCAAAAAGTAAAGAAAACTCTCGCGCGATCATTTTGGTGAAGCGTAATGGCGTTAGATACGATTACGAGCGCCGGTCGGATAAAGTCCCTGCCGGTTGCGAAATGCGCGTCGCCCACGCGCGAGTTTGTTAAACAAGCCGCGTATCATATCTGGCAGATAAATATCGGGTGACCGTGCTGGGCGTGAACTGAAAGTCAAGATCATCCGCTGCTTGTGGCAGTCGCGCTTCACGCTTATGGTGTCGATGGATTTACGATGGGAACGCTAGATTCGCTGTCGTTTGCGATTGCGTTACTCGTTTCCTGTTTACCATTTTTCTCCCGTTCGGACGTGCCAGAGTACTTTCAACCGATCGCAGTGGAATGACTCCTTCTCGAGTGATTTCCTATACAACGCAGAGATTGTTGCGGCAACATTGTAACACTGTGCAGTCGCGGATTAACGAATGTCAACGAGGTATCGGCAACGCGATATTAATATTTTAGGAGCGTTGCGAAAAATAATTCTGTAATCGTATTATAATAAATTTAAATAATAATAATATAACAGTTTTCCCAGAGAACATTATGACGTCTTAAAGACGCCTTAAAGATGTCTTAAACCCACAAAACAATATGTTATCAAAAAGATTTCTAAAAGATATCTCATTTCTGAACCTGATAACTTATAGAGGCTTCTAAAAGATAACATAAAGATGTCAGAATGTTCTCTAATGCACCGGTTTTTGAGAACAGAAAGATATCATGAAAATGATGTCAAAAAGATTTCTCAAATCGGCTATCTTTAAGGTATTCAATGTTTGTCAACATATAGAGTTCTTGTTTATGATGTCTAAAAGAAATCAGATATATGTCAACATATAAATTTCGCATTTATGATATCTAATAATTTTGGGGGGAAAATTAATTTCTCATTATTATAATGTAATAAACATAAAATTTATTATTCTGCACTATATACATAGATACAATATACAGTATGTACAATATACAGACTATATTTCGAGGTGTTCTTTTTATAAACGATAAGTTTAAAGATACCGTTATCTTCCAAACGAAACAATATATGCGTCAGCGCTAAGATTATTTTAATGGCTCATAACACTACGAAAAGAAACAAAAAAACCAATGGAAAACCTTGCTAAATACAAAGTAGTAGTAGTAAAGTAGGAGCAACTTACGAGGGCGACTGACGAAACAGTGCATAGACAACCGTTAATGAGGAACATTACAAAAAAAACGCGCGAGTCAACTACAGAGTGTGTCTTTTTGCGAGTCCGTCGCGTCTATCGAGGTTTTCGATCTGCGAAGGGCTCATCGCTTTAGGTTGAGCATTGTTTTTGCCACCAACCACTTTCGCATATGTACCGCAGTGCGTCTACAAAACCAATGATCAGGCAATGGGTAGATAACCGGTTGTGTGCGCCTCGATTCCAATCGTTTTCAGCGCCGTTTTGACGTTCGTTTCCGGGTTGGGCGCCATCCACGATGTTTTCTTAATTGATCTTGGACATCTTTGTGGCGACCGGGCCGGGTAGGACACACTGGACGACGATCCCTCTCGACGCAGCTTCCGTAGCAAGGTCGGCGCTGAGCTTACATGATTACAAGATTACATCTATAGATTATACATTATCTCATTCACATTAATTATATATAGTATATATTGTTATGCCTGCATCGGAACGATTCGCCACCGGGTGAATGCGCGCCAGCCGTGGGCTGAAGTTGCGGCGCGTGGATGCATCGGTCGTCAAGGACCAATATGTTTCTGTCTCGTTGCCGAATCTTCTCTGAAAACTCGGCAGCCTGTCGCGTCTGCTCCTCCCGCAGACGACGCACCTCTTCGAGCACCGCATGAAGGGCTGCCGTTACCGCATCCGGCTCTGGCACCTCCACGATCCGCCTCTTCAGTCGTGTAGCCAATCTATCCCGGACGAGCCCCCAAATGTTATGTCTCCGTCGGCGCGCAGCCTCTCCGTCGGCACGTCACTCCGCGCACTCGCGTATCCGACGGTACGACGCTTCGCTCACTCGCGTTCCACGCCGCGAATAAATGAGAGAGAGAGAGAGGATTGGCAGAACGGAAATTCTTTATTATAGTAAGGAACACGTCTTCTCTCAAGACAAACTCGGAGACAAATCATATAATCAATAAAAGACAAAAACATATTGGTCCTTGACGACCGATGCATCCACGCGCCGCAACTTCAGCCCACGGCTGGCGCGCATTCACCCGGTGGCGAATCGCATGCGCATTTGGTTCAGAGACCAGACAACATTATGATGTCTTTCATGAGAGTTTAAACTGATATCATGTAGCATGATATCATAAAGATAACATTTTAAAGAAATGTTTCAAATGAGATATCTCAAAGAGCTCTCGTAATAGATGCCTCTAGTAAATGATGATTATCAGATACCATTTTGACATAATTTCCAAGATATCTAAATGTTTTCTTGAAAAAGTTCTCTTAAAGTTTTCATTCTGACAAGCGTGTTGTCTGGGAATAGTTCTAAGACGTCTTATGAAGTTGTCAGAAAGACGTCTTAAAGACGTCTTATGTCCCGATTTTCGACGTCTTTTAGACTTGTCTTAAAGACGTCTTTATGACATATCTTTATGACGTCTGAAAGACGTCTTAAAAACAAATCTAAAAGACGTCTTTGAGACATGTATTATAGACATATTTAAAATACTTTTTTGTTTGGTATGATTTAGGGCCAGTTTCACAAATGACTGAACTCTTTTTTTTTTTACGAGGTGGAAATCCCTTCGGATCCCCCGCGCCTCCGGGGGGAGGGCGGGGGTATGCGGTGCACGTTAGCCGCTAAAACCACCCCGGTTGCCTTCTTCGCGCGCATATATGGCCGGGTCCCGGGAACACGATGTATACTACCGTTGCCCGGCCGCGCTACTCTCCCCTGGTGTTCGGGGAGAGTCCTACCCTGCGGCCCACGATGGATGTGGGCCGCGGCGGAGTACAGGGCAACACCGTACTCCGCCCTTCCCTACGGGCCGATACTGGGGGGAGTGGAGCGCCCCCGCGCTCCATCCCCCAGCCCGTAGGGGTCCCACTAGTGGTTCCAAGCATGGGACGATTTGTGGTGGGACCACCGTCCCCGTGCCCGCGGGCACCGCCAGAGATCCCTTATTTGGGTTCTCTGGCTCTGCACCTTTTAGACGCCTCTTACGACAGGCAGGTGATACCCCGGGCCTATTCGGTAGCGGGACCCGGACGCCTGAGTTGACTGAACTCTTTTTTTTTACGAGGTGGAAATCCCTTCGGATCCCCCGCGCCTCCGGGGGGAGGGCGGGGGCATGCGGTGCACGTTAGCCGCTAAAACCACCCCGGTTGCCTTCTTCGCGCGCATATATGGCCGGGTCCCAGGAACACGATGTATACTACCGTTACCCGGCCGCGCTACTCTCCCCTGGTGTTCGGGGAGAGTCCTACCCTGCGGCCCACGATGGATGTGGGCCGCGGCGGAGTACAGGACAACACCGTACTCCGCCCTTCCCCACGGGCCGATACTGGGGGAGTGGAGCGCCCCCGCGCTCCATCCCCCAGCTCGTAGGGGTCCCACTAGTGGTCTAAGCATGGGACCATTTGCGGTGGGACCACCGAGTTGACTGAACTCTGGCCTAACCTAACCTAATCTCAGTTCTTTCTTAAACTATCTCGAATCTGGTCTCGTGTGAAGAAAATCCGGAACCGATACGAAAAACGAAATATTAAGGCACACGACACTCACTCCTCGAAGTGAAAATACCGATAAATAATGCGTGCCCTCGGCAACGCAGCCAACCGAACCACCCCAGCCCCGCCTTCGCCCTCCTACGAACTGCTCGTGCATCGTCTCCGTGCCGAGCGTGCCGTCGCGAGATTTTAAACTATATGATTCCCCCAACAGCTTCCAATATCGTTATGACGTGATTGTACTATACATAATAATACATAATAATACATAGTATATATAATTACGTCATAAAGACATTGAAGACAACGATTATACTATTTATACAGAAATATATTGTTATATATTACTTATTACACGTACTTATCCCAGACAGCACACACATCTAAAAGACATCATAAAGACGTCTTTAAGACGTCTTTTAGACTTAAAGACGTCTTAAAGCTGTCTTTTAGACATGGTGTGCTGTCTGGGATCTTTTACAATGTTTGCACATAAATGTAATCTCTGCAGTTTTCATCAATCGAAATTATTTATTTAAAGGTTATATTACGAAAGCTATATGACACATAATCGATATTTTGTTCAAGTCTAAAAGATAGCCTTCTAAGACGTCTTTATGACGTCTTTCTAAAAAAGTCTTAAAGACATTTTTATAAGACGTCATAAAGACGTCTTTTTGACAATGCCTTAAAACTCTTTTTTTTCTGACGTCTTATAGACGTCTTTTAGTAATGTCTTAAAGACATCTCTTTTAAGACGTCTTTAAGACGTCTTTTGGACATGCGTGTTGTCTGGGATTTTTACTATATTTGTGACAAAGGAAAGCTGTTTAGGAACGCAAATAATTACA